AGCGCTTAAGCACACGATAACTGTTCTGTTCTAGTGTAAAACTCCTTAGTAGTGTGCTCTCATGACCATGCTGCAGACTAAGTCCAAGACTTTCACTTCTCACGAAGAACGCTCAACCACTGAAACTATCGAGTCTCAGTCTAGTGGGAAGATTCATATTCTAAGAAATTTTTGATATAAATCGATGTTCATTGTTGATAAGTATTTCTTTTCTGACATGTTTGAGATCCACTGCATCCGATCCCCACCAGGGTCGCGAGTACAGAATAATAGGGAACTCCCTTGCCTTAACGGAGCAGTTTCTACCGTTTGCTGGTTATTGTCAATGTTAGTATAATAGTCAAAAATTCTAATCTGATATTTTCCGACTTTAAATTATCAACTTTAACTTAAATTAGTTACAGTGACTTTTGCAAGTAGGAAATGGTCATTTCACTGACTATGTGCTTCTGTTTTAATGAAAAATACATATAATTACGAAGTCTATTTGCAAAACCATTAATATTGTATACTAGATTACTGTGTGTTTCCTTTGACATACTGGAAACTGTTAGCAATCACTTATAATTCAAATAATATATTATTTGTTATGTGCTTAATTTATGTGGAGCTTTAATATATGTGAATTTCCACTTATAAAGTATTAAGAGTATGCTTACAGTCTTCATCCATTTCACTCTATCTAATAACTGTCAGCATACCTATTTGTCTAACGGATTTAACATTTAAATCTATACCGTTTGACATAAAATAGTTTTAGGCAATATTCAAATCTATAAACTTCGGTTTCATGACATTTAGTAGTTATTAGTAAGACGTACAGGCTGTCTTGAAGGGATTATTATTTAACGGAATATTAGAACTGACCTTACTTAATACCACATTGCAATTGGTTTTATAGAATTCAATTGGTAATAATGTTTAGACAAGATGATATTACTTACCCAAATGTGATTCATTGATATAAGCATGTCAGTTCAACAAGAAGTTCATTGTTACGACTTTTGATTATGACCTTGTGTGATACAGTTCTTAATTTCAAAAAACACATCAGGTCTCTCGAGATTCTCTATGTTCCATATTGGTAAAGAGCAAGGAAACATAGATTTGTGGCTGTCTTTTCCCTCAAATCACTTATGAAATCTAACAATGAAAAAATAATAGAGCACTATGAATTCTAACATTTTATCTTTGTACACTAGACATTTACCTACCTTTATCTAAGGATTCTTTCATTGTCTAATTTATGTAGATTTAAATTTATTCAGTCTACACTTTAATAAAAAAATGAAATTACTTAAATTATTTAAAAAAGAAAACAAAGTCACTGAAGAAATGAATTTTATAGGTTAGAAACTTTTCATTTGTATGACCAATATTGCATGTTCTCCGAGAAAATAACATGGAACAGATTGAAATTAAAAACTAGTCAAGCAATTGGTTCAATGCTAACATGATTTACGTTAGAAACACAAAACTATACAATTCCAAAAAGTTTAAGTCTTAAAAAGGGTATATATATTTAGTTACTTTATTAATGAAGGTCCAGGTACTAGTTTTATACTTCCATTGATCATGCACTTTTTACTGTTTCTTTGCCTATGTCTTCTACATTACTCTTGTCATAATAATAATAATAATAATAATAATAATAATAATAATAATAATATTTTTATTATCTGAATGAAAGACTTAAATTAAGAGTCAAATATTTATCAAACACATTTTAAATTGTCAATGATTTAACTTGGCTTGTTATTCATTTGATGTTGAATCCATGTTACATGTCATATTGTCAAATGTCAAATATTTTTGCACAATTTGAAAAAAACACCATATTAAAATATATAAACCGTGAGTGACATGAGTTTTGTTACAACTCTGTTCATTACATGAAAATCCTTGATGTATCTATAAATGGATAAAAAATGAAAGGTGTATGTATCAAGATATGTTCATTACTTCATATTTCTGAAATAATACAATCAGCTGTAGTCATGACAAATCCCCTTGTAAATAGATACATTCTATACTCTCGATAAGTAAACATCCATACCGTTGTAATTAAACATTAGGGAAAAAAGAGATTTAATTTTCACACTGTTTATCTATTAGTGTTTCCGAAAATGGAACAGTGTTCTGTGTTGCTTTTTTTAAAATAAAAAATAACATTCTTTTTTTTATTATTCGATTAAATAACCATCACATTGGATAATTGGTAATTAATAACAAAATTATGTTTTATAAAAGCAATAAAATAAAATATCTCTTAGCAACAAAATAGCAACACTTTGGATTCTTATTATTTATTATTATTTATCACATATTATTTCAATTTGGTTATGAAGTTATACTCTCGTAGTTTACATCGCAGTTTAATATTAGTTAGACAACCATTTAAAATTCGATCTTGAGATTATGATTGCAGCTAAGCAACAACGAGAATATCATCATAATTCAACAACAAATGAATTGCAGTGTTTAACTGTGTATGCATCACCAGTCCCTATCAAACAACAACCTCAATTGACTTTGTTGAATAATAGTAATGTTAAACTATCCACATCATCATCGCCAAGGTTGTCATCCCCTTCAATATTGAATGCTACAAACCAATGTTTGACTACTACTAATTTTACTTCTGGTGCTGCAGTTATTGTCATTATTACAAGGTAGTGTCATCAGTATGTTGTTGATTGGTGTTTTTTATTTGAGAATAGGTCTGTGATGCCCTTAGATGTCCGAGGTCACACGTGCGCTATAATGACGGTGCCAGCGAGTCTGGAAACCTGGCCCGAAAGGGTTGGACAGACTTTCATTATCGTCGTGACTAGGATCAGGGCTTGCAATTATTCCTAGTGAACGAGGAATTCCTGGTAAGTGCAAGTCATAAGCTTACGCTGATTACGTCCCTGCCCTTTGTACACACCGCCCGCCGCTACTACCGACTGAATGGTTTAGTGAGGTCGTTGGATTGGTGTCGTTGTAGTGGCTTTGCCGCTCGACTGATGCTGAGAAGATGACTTAATCTGACTATTTAGAGGAAGTAAAAGTCGTAACAAGGTTTCCGTAGGTGAACCTGTGGAAAGATCATTATCATAACCCAAAAATATATAATCATGCATGCGCCTGACTTCTTGCTGGACTGCATGTACCCTGGCTTGGTGGTTATAACCCTACGCTCCAGTGGTTATTATTGCATCAAAACTAATCAGTGGACTTCACAATGCTTTGTTTTAATTAGACAGTAGGATTCCCCTGGTCCGTGCCAGTTCTGAGTTAGCCGTCGCGCGACAGACCATGGAAGTACAGCCACTTGACGCAACGTGGAACAAGTTCTCACGCGTTGCTAGCTGCACGACACTAACAGCTGAAACCGCCCACGATCGACCCGGGTCAGAGTCCAGTAATGTCACCACAACGCGCACCGAAGCACACAAAGCAGTAAAGAAACCAGCCCCCAACTGGACCGACACGTATCTGATCTCGGCCTGTCTGACTCGGCCCCCAGAGCCATTCCTTCTCCCGAAGTTACGGATCCAATTTGCCGACTTCCCTTACCTACCTTGTAGACAGATATTTCACTCTAGCAAGGGACTAATTAACAGTGCACATCTGTTGTCCTGATAATGGGATCGAGTCCGGGACTTTCTTTTCTGAAGTGAACGCCTAACATCCGTACCACCGAGACGTCATCCAAAGGTATACAAGTTTAACTATCAATAAACAGAAAGGCTTAACCAAAACGAGTCATAATCGAAATTGGTTGTAAGATAGTTGCTATGTTATGACATTCACCATCTGAATCTCTTTCTGGTGTCATTTCAAGAATAAAAGCTATTTTAAAACTACTTATCGCAGAAACTGCGGTAATGGTACGGAACTAGTTCAGTACGAAGCAAGGAGCTATCAAGTTGAGAAATAGTATAGTTTATAAGGTTCATATTTAATAAACTGCACCATATTGGCAAGTAAACATTTCATGGTTTGACTCTAAAATATGTTAGTAATCTACAGTTACAAACATTTAGCTGGCTGATTCATTTATTCCTAAATCTCCGTAATCGTGAGTTTAATGTCACTACTTATATTCCTCATTCTTCGATATGATTTTTGTTTCGTTTGCCTAATTTTTGACTGAAGTTGACATTACTTTTTTTTACTTCTCACGAAGTTAATTTTCTCTCGTTATTTCTTTCTGTCTCACTTAGAAGCTTTTTACTGATAAAAAGTTTTTGATGCTAACATTAATCCAAATCTTTCATTATATGCTTTGGGATTCATTACCAACAACCTGATTGGCTGGTGAATCTTCATGAATCATTCTTTTTTTGTTGTTGAGTGAATTCAGTAATTTGTGATTTTCACAGGTTGAAATCATGAGTCAGTTGAAGCTAGACCACCATTGAAAACCTGGAAGCACTGGACGGCCGTTTCGTCCTGATATGGGACTCCTCAGCAGTGCGCATCCACGATCCCGCACCACACGGGGCTCGAACCCAGGACCTACTGGCTTCGCGCGCGAGCACTTAACCACTAGACCACTGAGCCGGCATCCAACGGTGTTAATGTCTAACTTCAACCAATCCACGAAGTTGCGCCACCGTACACCATTGTCTTCAGTGAGTTGTTATCTCACAACAGACCGGTTGAACTCCACTGGTAACGGCTTCTCACTAGAATTTCAGGAGTTTTTCCTGAAGTCAGTCACTAGTGAGCAGTTGATTATTATTATCAGAATGGGTTTTGTGGAGAATTTTAGAAATTTTCACAGGTTGAAATCATGAGTCAGTTGAAGCTAGACCACCATTGAAAACCTGGAAGCACTGGACGGCCCATTCTGATAATTTGTGATTTATCATACTGTTGTCATTGTTCATTACGTGAAATTTATAAAGTACATTGAACAGCAAATAATTCAATACATATTCTCTCTCTAATATGTTTGGTTCATTCTTCAATTCATTACATTTTTGATGTTTTTGATTATTTTATTTTAGAAATTGAATTTAATCATGAAAGAACGTGATCAACTTCAAATAGAATTAACAAATACGAATAGAAAATTAGCTCGATTCTTAGATCATTTTAAAGCTCGTTTAATTTATCATATAAATGGAATAACTGTAAGATTTTCTGTTAACTAATATACAGATAAAAATATGTTGTATGTTACAATTTATAACGATGTAGTTATACTTTATAAATGTTATGTGAATGGAGTTAGTCAACATGAAACCCTGCATGACCTAGATTTCCTTTTAGTTGATTCTCTGTACCAATGCATCCCGTTAGATTTGAACCCCCATTAAGTGATGATGAGTTACAGCTAGTATCAAACCTAGGTTATGTAGGGTTCCTTATAAATTACTTCCAACCAAATAACACTTACATTAATGTACAATAGCTATCCAACTATGACATTTAAAATTGATTCCTGCTCATTTCCATTTATCTCTTAAACATCTGCAATACCACGTGATGATGAACTATACAATAGTATTCATAGATAATGTCATGTGTACTACAGAAGAGAATGTCAGACATATCGAAGGTAGTTGTTATTTTCTCTTGAGAACACGTTAATTCTATAATCCTTTTAGTGAATTTAATTATAAAGTATATTTTACCATCAAAGGTTTACTCCGAAAGTCAGTCAAATCAGATTCATGTAATGATTATTTGTCTACAATTCATTATCAATCCTAGTTTGATAAATATATGTGAAATAACTTCATACATGAACCAATTATGGGAATCACTTAGATAGTTCACTATTACTTTACATTCGGCAATCATTTTTGTATACCATTATGTAATCATCAATTTAACAATTGGATCAAAATCATTCACTGTACTTTTTGTTTAAATATGAAATTATTGAGTATAATCAGTTTATATAAATTGACGTTTGACAAATTTATTATGTGGAGGAAACATCGTTTTTATTAATTAGTACCATTGAGTATCCCTTTGAATATTTAACTATAGTAAGTAAACTAATTTAGGTAATAAATGAAATATTTCTAGTGATTAGTTGCTTTAAAACAATATATATGTACACTATGAATGGTATATTCTACGATTATTACAAAAATTTCTGATATCTTATTAGTGCAGATCGAATGCTATCGATCATGTTGCAATGTGGCCAGCAGTCTAGGTGACTCGACACTGCGGGCACTATATATTGAGATTAGATGGTGGTTGGCCACATTGCAACATGATCGATAGCATTCGATCTGCACTAATAAGGACTAGACACGCATGACATTGATCGCCACCCGGTGATCAATCAATTGTGATTACATCTCAGTCCTACAGGAGATCAGTCGTGGCTCGGATAGCTCAGTGTTAACGTCTCTGACTGTGAAGCTGGATGACACGAGATCGAATCAGCCAAGGAGAACCAGTTTCCTCAAGATTACAAGTACACCATGCTGACGAGTGTCTAGTAGCACGAGACCCGGGTCCAAGGTTTCCTGTCGACTACCTCCAACCACCATCTAATATTACTAGACTTATATCACATTGGAATGGTAAATAAAGTCTTGATTCACAGTATAATTCAACATTATTATTATTATTGACTTAAAGAACGTTATAAGTTCATTTTACTTTTGATATTGAGTACTTTCATCAAAATGATATGACGTAACGTAAGGAAAAATCAGTATAATATCAGATAACAATTGACTAGATTTAAAAAAAAGCTATAGACTCAATTTTTTTATAAGTGTATTGATTCGACATAGAAATCCACCAATATATTTTTCAATAGATTAAGTTCACATTGGTTAATAATTGAAAAAGGGGAATAGGTTACTAGGTTTCTTCAAAATATTCCCTAATTATTATGGAGCCACCCGATGAGCAGTTTCCAGGTTAGGTACACGTTAAATTGGTTGAGGATCTATTGGATATTCACTAACTGAGGTGGTTAGGACATGTATTACGTATTACTGTCTAACTGAATGCGTGATTGCATATAGTGTAGGAGTAGGTTAAAAGAAAGCTACGAGTGACTAAACAGAGGCAGTGTAATCGGTGTGTAGGACAATATGTAGAACAGCTCAAGATCGATCACAACGACATAGATATATTTACTGTTTGTCTTAAAATACCTACACTTTTATTTCACTTATTCATTCTTTCCTCCCAAACATAGTGTCTATTTCTAATTTTTCCTACTACCAGTGGTACTGTTACTACCATTATTCATGCGTTACTCTTAATGATTTCATCTCTGTGTGTTTATGTTGTATGGAAACTTAAACTGACGCAAATATGTACCAGCTTTTAAGTTACTGACGACCGAGCGACTAAAGAACTGCATTGGTTTGAATCTTGTGAGGAAGTTCAGACATCTCAAGATTACTTCTTAAAACGTCCCAACTAACATTAAATTCTAACCATAAGGTTTTCTTTATATTACGTTCTACCAATTAATGCGATAACAAGATGCAAAACCAATTCACTGTATTTATTATTCAATTTACGCTCAGCGTTTAGTAGATGCTACAAAATCCAATGATAAATTAATTGTCAGTGAAGGACTTTATGGTTTAGAAAAATATATTAAACATTTAATTGCTGATATGAATGCAACTTATAAAATACGTGAAAATCAACTAGTTAACATTTGCCGATCGCTTAATGGTCAGTTGCATGCAACACGTGAAGCAATGCGGAAAGTGATGATTTGTTATACGTAAGTATTTTTTTATCGTTGTTATTTGATTACCTAAACGTTTATCGCATCCAAACATAGTTTCATTTCACTAGTTTATTGGCATTTGCATCCTTACAAATTTATTTAAGCTTATAGATACCAATTTTTCCAGTTAAATCAAACAGTAGCTCTATTAACCTGAATAACATATCTTAATTTCTAGGCAAGGCCAACGTCTAATGACTATGTACATATAATTTTCATTTAAGTGGACTAAACATGCTTATGCAGATGCTTATGAAGAGTTTGTAGGTATCAATGCCAAAGCTGGACTTGATAGTTTCAAATAAATTGAGCATTGGGTAGAGGTTTAATACAAAATATTTTGTTGTTATATCCCAATCAGTAGGAAAGTTATATTTCTGACGTTTCGTGACTTAATGTGAGCCACTCCTTCAGAATAAACAAATAACCGAATTAAAATTACATATGCTTAAAGAGTACAAAAGAAGAGTGTTGATAAATTCAAAAGTTGCCAACTTAAAATTCTTTGGAACTACCTAAAGAGTAGCTTCTTAATTCATACCAGTATGACAATGTTAACCGAAAGTAGAGTTTTATTATGAACTATTTATATTAGATAGTTGACATCTACCATCAGGGAGCTTTAGACCCTGGTTTTATACTAGTTGAAACTCACCAGTGAAGTGATTCACCGATCTTATATCTATGATGACTGAAGATCTAGTTTATAGGGCTTGGCACAAATTAATTACAACCTTTTTTCATGAAAAGTAGTGCATTACAACGTTAAGTTACTAAATTCATTGATGCATGATCAGTAGGATTCAATCAGAACAAAGGACTATGCAAACATAAAATTTACCTTTACTTAGGAAGTAATTAATGTAGATAATACTAATATTTGATAATACGTAGGTTGACATGTTTCATATTTAATTAATATTTGTAAACAATACTCCTAAGTCATTTTATTTTCATCAAAAGACTTGGTTGCATCACAAGAAATTACTTGAGTAGACGAGTACCATGTTTAATAAGTATTTGAAGGAGGAAGATACTTAGTTATAGGTAATATCGACTAATGTTTGCAATAGTTTGTAGCGTTGTCAAACAGTGAGCCATAAATACTCACTGAAACAGTAAAAGTTATCTTTCGAAATGAACCATGAAACAAAACTGAAGATAATTTCAAGAGCGTATAATTCAACCAACTAATTTTTTTAAAAATAAGGTCACCAATAGAAAACGGTTTAACACAGATTATGAACTGATCAATCTATCTCAATTAAGTTGAGTTTTTTTAAAGTTTTAAAATCAAATTCCCAACCTTCTACTCCTTCCCACCAAAGATTGAACCCAGGACTTGTCCAGTCCTTCCTGATTTCTAGTGGTTGTTTGACTAATATCATTGCGCAGTGTTGATTAGAGATTAAAAAAATATCCACAAACTGCCATATTATTCACACTACCTTCTGAGTGTTCACGCCATTATAACTACAAAACAGAGACTACATTACGGTGACTACTAAGATACAAGACATAATCAGTCACTAGTTAGTTATTTAAAACAATAGAATAACGAGAGGACGAAGTAGACTAACCAAGGAACTCACCGTACATTCAACAATTTAACAGTAGTAAATACTAATCATTTATGTTATGAAGAATAAAAGTATTAGGTGCATATAAATCGGACAACAAGTTACTAAAGCCTACCAGTAGATTATTACTATGAATCACGGAATACATCATACTGCTATTATACTTACAGTTGCATAAAACTGTTCTAGCTGATTACAGACAAAAATTAAAACATTCAGTACCAATTCACTATGATATTTTTGTATAGCTGATACTCACAGTTGATATTCTTTATATTTCGTTTATCAAATAAGACATATATTTAAACATCGTTGTCAATTATTTTGCACTGATTCAAAAATTATGGTTACTCACCTTATAAACAACAAGAAATGATTGTCATTTTAATCAACTTCAAACATTTTCTATAAGCTCATTTATGGAGAAAAACACATTTCTAATCACTTGTTGGATCATTGACTCATTAACATACAACGGTTACAATAAGCAGACATAGATGTTTACATGCATGTGAATTAAATAATGTTAAATCAATAGTAGTGTTGGTTAGATTCGAATTAAAATTAGGAAACTAATCATGAAGGATTTACCAATTTCAAGAAGAAAAACGTGCTTTTCTAGTTTCATAAAAAGATACTCTTCAAAGAGGAATCCAAAAGTTGGATAAAATTCGAAGATAAAGAAATTGAAAATGACTGATTTGTTTAAGCAGATTTTTAAAATTATCAGATGGTTTTATTTGTATTTAAATGAAAACTTTGCAACTATTCAAGAATAATCATCAGGCTAAACAGATATGTAAGCGTTGATTTTTAGCTTAAAAAGAAATATTTACTGGCCAGTTTAGACCAATTATTCTGTTTATTCAATAAACACTTTCTACAGTTGTTGAACACATGCTACAGTGGCTTAACGTTATACAAAACGCATTGTGAAACTGGCTTTTTTGAGTAAGTAATGCAAAACTATGATTTAACTCTCAAAACGTTCATGAAATGTCTAGAGATCATTATGGAGATAGGAAAATGAAGATATCAATATTTTCAAGAGTTTTTTCTCTTAGCTGTGTATACTTCAAAAGGATAACTGTCAGTTTTTCGTATCGATGAAAATCTTAAACCCAGATGGTTTCTTATGCTTTCCGAAAGTCAATTCACTGTGGATTATTGATGGTGAACTAAATTTGAGTGAATCGTTTGTTTGTGTTTGTACAGTCGGATCAAAAGTTGAAATAATGAAGAAGCCTGTCTTCTGAAGATATCTGTAAATGTCTCAACCAATAGAAACAGAAGCGAGATGAGTCTTAAAACTGGAGTTTGTAATATCTTCGGAATTTATTAAAATACATTAGTGTATGACAATACCTTCCTTCATTTCTGTAAGATATTCAACAGAAATTTACAATCATATATGACACCTTAGGCGGTATTCATTTAAATCCACGAAGCGCTATAGTTATTAGACAGTGGTTTATTAAACATGCCTATAGACAACAACCACTCCAATCACTGATAGCGTTCAGAAGTCAAGGTGTTGTTTATTGTCAAAGTGTTATATCTTGTTCATAGTAAGATTTCAATCAATCATTTGCTTTCTGCTCCTAAGATGTTATGGAATAATCTCTGATCATGAAACAATATGACTGGTTTAAAACAAACAGAATACTTGAAAAATCCGTAAATAAAATTCTTAACTTTTTGTATGCATTAAAAAACTTCTATAAAGTACAAAAAATTATCCAGGGATTTTGATTAGCTGAATTAAAACAATCCTGTAAACAAACCTTGGAAACTAAAAATTATTAGGTCAACAATTTATTTTCGATTTGATGGTCGATAACTTGATCATTTGAAGGTTATTTACTGCTTATGTACATTTACAGGGTTAATAATGTGTGCATCAATGTATACAATGAATATTGAATGAGTAGTTCTATCTTATCGTTTGTTATAGAAAACCATCCACCTATTATCTTTGGTTATTAATTAATAATTAGTAATAATTAATAATTATTCATAATTTAGGATTTCAAAACTTCAGCAGAACATTATTCCGATCTGAACTGTCTATCAAAACCCCAACAGTTGATGTCCATTTATGATTAAAGCTATCTTAACATCAACCTAACCTCAAAAAAAAACATATTTTAGTGAATAAAGTTGTTCAGTTCTTAGTGAGCTCGCCTTAAAAGCTGTTCACTCAAGTATTATTTAAATGTCTTAGATAACGTTCAGCATGAATTAAATCGGCTAATTTTGGTCTACAAGTTAAACGTTAACGCTAGGGACGTGAGGTCTTGGGTTCGACTCCGGGTAGAGGCTATTAATGTACAGTGATGAGGACCAATCAGTCATCCATGCTTCTACGTTTTCAATGGGGGTCTAACTGAGATCAGTTTGTGACTTAAATCTATGAAAATTCTATAATCTCCACAAAACCATATACTGACAATTCAAAAATAACGGACGGTCTTTCTGTAATAAGGACAGGAAAATCAGGTAGCTCGACTACTGAGTCCTCTGACTACATTTACCCTATAACCCTATAAAACCACCGACCTTCGCTTTGACTAGTAACAAATAACTTTAATCAATAATTGCGAATATTCTTATACATATTTTCCAGAAAGCAGGTTCCGCCTGGATTAGCACTGAAAAATGTGGCAAAATTGATTAAATAATCATAAACTACTCATTTATAATCAGATACATAAACATATCTGGAAAGAGAGACATTAATCGAACTTCACTGAAATTATACTAATCATAAATATAATAATTTATTAAAAACGTAACAATCACATACAATTAAGGGACCTAGATACGCTTTTTTTCTGGAATAAAACTTTGTAGTAGCTTGACATTGAGAAAATTCCTTAGGCTTCATTTAACATTGATCATTCTATTCATTCATTATATTTTATTTTATTAATTAAAATGATTCATGATAAAATGCAAAATTGTTGAATTTTTATATTGGGAAATAGATGTATATACATTAAACACATATTGACATTTATATTAGCGAACATGTTTGTACATGTGTGAGTGTATAAATTCATTTAAGAGCAGTTCCTTTTCTTCTTTTTTTTGTCAATTATGATTCATCTATGTATTATCAAGATTTTGGTCAAAATCAAATCACATTATAATAGATTCTTATGAATTTAACCATGATCAGTTTAATATAGACTTTTCTAGTTCATAAATGAACTACTTGAATAGAAATTATTATTGATTTAACATTTTGTTAAAGATGATTAATATCAGAAGGGGTTTTGTAAAGATTTTGGTAATTTCAGCAGTTCAGATCATGAGTCAATTGAAGCTAGACCACCATGGAAAACCTGGAAACACTGTACGGCCGTTTCGTCCTATTGTTGGACTCCTCAACAGTGCACATGGCAATGGTGG